TTTTTTTCCCATAGCCTTAAATATTATCATTCATACAATTATTTGCAGATGTCAAAAAAAAATCTTTCTCTTTTTATTCGTTTATTCAGTTTTAATTCTTTGATTTTCTCCTTCTATTTTGAAAAAAAGCCTTTCTTTCGTACTCACTTAGTTGACGATTGTCGACCTGTCGATGCGGCCGGTACATTGATGACCAGAAGAATGAAAGAGAGATGAGGAGGAGGAGGAGGTTTGCACGAGCCGCACAGATGATTAAAGTAGAACGCGTAATAACGGAATGCGCGATGAGATTTTTGCTTCGGGCACTCACCGTGATTATTATATTGTCGTGCGTGTTTTCTATATTTTCTCTCTCGTACTGCTCTCCTCGGACAACAAAGCGCGCCGATTTTATAGCGATTCTAAAGGCGCTGTCACTCATTCGAGATGAACTACTGATCACCGTTGTAAAACAAGGAAAAAGAATTTGTTTTCGAATAGAATCGCATGTGTCGATCATTTGAAATTAGAACAGCCACTCATTTTATTACTTGAAGGCAAAAAGAAAAAAAATAGAGATAGAGACAAAAAATATTCTGTATTCATATATGTAACAATTGCAGTCTCATTAAAGGAAATCATTGTCGCAAATCATATCTAAATTTTTGTAAGCAACTCATCTATTAAGCAAGAACGACATTGCAAGACTTGTTCGAAACATCAAGAGCTTACGAAATAAAATATTCTCATTTAGCAATGCTGATGAGGCAATTCTGAATATCTATCTGAGTCTCTTCCTTGCACGATCGTGACCATTCGTATGTGAAAGCAGGGTACGCCCGATCAAAGTGCTGCGATCGAACAATTAAACAATTGTCAGGGCCGACCCACTTCTTTGCCAGGACACGTTGTCCTTCCTCGTGTACGCCACCGTAGTATGGCACTTTCAATCTATTGAATGTAGAAATCGTTTAAATTAAAATCGCTCGATCGCGTGCGCTCGACTTATTTGGTAGAGAGCAATCAAATGCAGAGAGGATGCTACCGGTAACATAAATATAGAATATTCGGAGCACATAAAAAAAAGATATATCAAAAGGATATATATAATAATTTATTCGATTTTTTTGTTACGGTGAATTTTCTCAAGCTATGTACTCAAAGATTTTAAGAAGTAATTAACATTAAATTTATTCTAAATTATTCTAATATACAATAATTATTATATAGATTAATAATTAAAACAGTATAAATAATAATTATTATAAATAATAATTATTTAAATTATATTATCAAGACACTAAGAATGTATTTAACTCAGATAAAATCATTATACTATTTTTAATTTATTTTTATTCTTTTTATTCAAGCATTTTAAATATATTAGTTGAGATGCTAACGCACTTTTAACCGTAAGCATATCAACGTCACGCTTACGAGAAAATTGTTCCGATTAACAATTAATCAATTCAATAACGTTGTCTCACGTTATCGCCTGCGCGATGCTACCCGGTCTTCTTTATTACCACTTGTCAATGATAGATCGATTCAGACGAAGCGTTAAACTATTCATTACCATCATGCATTCCCGATCGCATCATCGCGCAGTTAATAAGATAATAAGTACTATGCAGGGGATGAATAATCGCGATTGGACGCCCTGGAGCCGCCAATCGTCTCGCGCGAACACATCGCGATTAACCGACAGCAATAAGGAAGTTCTTACGTCATCGATTAATCGCCAGGTCTCCTTTATGGATTTCGAATGCAAAAGAATGCACTTAGGACGAATCGTTGATTGCCGGTAAGCCGGCGACTTGATCGGCGTTTCACAAGGGAAATTTCAACGTCGGAGTATTTTAATCTCATGCCGCCCTTTTCCCGATACGCGATTGCTTCGGAAACGCGTTTCCTTTTAGGATCAAAATTCGTCCGAGGGCGGACGTTATCGGTCAATCAAAATTATAATAGTGACGATTAAGTAGCGATTTCGTCAAAGTGAAAGTCCGACGGTTGCTGTTGTATTAACATCATCGTCGACTCGTCTCGGTTGTGTCGGATATATACGACTTCGCACGGCCGCGTATGCGGCGGCACATGGGCAGTACGCATCTTGTATCTAATTATCGAGGAATGCTTTGTGCGTGTACGAAGCCGCGCACCGGTCGTCCGGGCTTAACGACTCTGGCGGAAGAAAAGAATTGAGCCCACGAGATTAAGCGATACACGCACGCATTTACGCGATACACGCACGACTTTTCGGGCAATTTCGCACTTTTCTCTTTCTCTTTTTTCCTGTGATAATTTTTAACGTGCGTTAAGCAATGCATTATCGAGAGAGAGAGAGAGAGAGAGAGAGAGAGAGAGAGAGAGAGACAGTTCGACGACCTGGAAAACGCGAGTTACAACTTAATAATTCTGAATAAAAGAGAGATCATCACTGCTTCACAATGATGATTATTGTAATGTATGATTAATTCACTTAAGTTATAGTTTGTTTTAAGTTTAATTTTTATCAATGATATATTATAATTCAAGTGTCATAAATATATTTGTTAAATATTCGAAAGGAACTTTATTGCTTTTTAATCGACAATTGTGCATGATCATTAAATGAATTAATTAGTTAAATGTACGCAAAAATTTTTTGCTGTTTCCAATTTCCTTTAAATTTAAACCCAGAAAACACAGTGGAAATAAAGGCTATATAAGCTTATGAGCAATCTTCTTTCCCTTTTGCATTTAATTGTCTGATCTCATAATTTCGACAAATGTTATTCTGCATGTTGATCGTTTTGGACGTCTTAATGATGGAGAGATATGAAAAAAATGGTGAAAATTATAGACTTGAGCATTGTGAATCGTCCAGATTATTCGTTCACACTCGGGTTCCCAAAGGGCAGACCATTCTTTATATGCACGTGACGGATAATTAATAATTATAAACCTTATAAAGCGATCAAGGAAAGGGCGGCATTTATGCGATTCGCCACGGTAATTTCCGATTCGACTGTGCACGAAAGATATCAATTCGCGGCAGCCTCAATTTCGTTTTCGCCCCAGAGGGCTCGTTAAAGATGTATATACACCGATAAAATCATAATTAGACGATGGCCTCATTTAAGTAAAATACCGACATTCTGCTCTTAATAATTATTATAACGTAAAGAAATCTCCTTTACATTTCTGCAATAAATTTGTCGAGAACACAGTTTCCACAGAGTTTCCATCGTAATGAATAACGATAAAAATTCTGTGAAAAATTGTATATTCCCAACAAATTCATTATAAGAATGAAAAGAAGATTTCTAACGTTGTAATAATTATTGAGGGCAGAATGTCAATGTGTTTTACTCTAAACATTGGATTTCCAACTTAAATTTCCAACAAATTCAAGATTTATCAAAATAAAAGATATAATCCACACAAATATAATTTAAAAATATATTCACAATGTGAAAAACAAAAGAAAATAAAGTAAAAATAGAGCATAGAAATTTTAAGATAAATTCATATATATTATAAAAAACTAAAGCTCCTTCATAATGGACGTATAAATTATTTTTTGGGAAAATTAAGAAATTTGAAAATCCGTAATAGAGATGTCGATTCTGACCATTTCTTGCGATATGGTTTATCGACTCGCACGATCTTGCCATCACATTATCGATTATACTCGGATACGTTGGTAACGCCAAGCATGTCCTCCAACTCGGTCGTCATTATGGAAATAGTGAGTGTAATGCGTCGGGAAGGCAGATGATTGCGCATGTTCGCCAATCTTCGTGGAGTCTAATGCGGGGAAAACGCGTTAACACGTGTTTGCTTTGGGCATCTCTTGCCGAATCAATGACCGAACAATTACGAACTCGGTCCATGGAAATTGCTAGAGAAAACATCGAGTATAATGTAAAACGTTAAATACTTTTGTTCTACCAGATCTGTATATGTTTATCTCTCAAAAAAGATTAAACTTAATAAATTTAATTCAAATTTAATTAAAAAAATTTATTTTTAAAAATAAGAGATATCTTATGTAGATATATTAAAATACAATATTCCTTTAGATTAATGATAAATTATAAATAAATATCACACACAATATTCTCGACGGAGTTGAAGTTTCTCGATATTACTGACAAAGCTGCATCGTATTTGCGAAGGACCAAGGAATAACAAGTTGGCGATGTTCAACGATGAGATTAACGTCCCGCGAAAGATCGATGAGAGATCGAACATCAACACGAGAGATCATTCGATGGCCAGAGATATACAGCACTGAGATTTTCAAAGCGAAAGCTCGTTCGTGGAAGTGAGGATAGGGAGCCCTTTGTGCGTCTCCCATTGTCGACTGAGGGAGACTGACTGGCTGAATTCAATGCACAAGTCGCACTCGCCAAAGAGCCATACGCGGCTCAGAGGGAGGATAGTCCGCATATACGAGACGATATAAGCACTACGTGCAATAACTTCGGCGTAATCGTCGAGGAGCGAGTCGGGAAAGAGAGAGAGACCATGTACGGCAGGCCTTCATGCACGCGCGGAATAACAAACCACGCTGCGATACACCGACGAGGCCTCTTCTGGTTCAAGGCCACGATGGCCATCAATGTATAAATAACATTTGTTAATAACGCACCAGTCTGAATCATAATAATTTTTAATACTTTTACTCTTAAATTATAAATAAAAAGATGCGTGACTCTAAACTTGTAACAATAAAACAATATCTTTCTCTCGATTATAAATAATTATTACATGTATAAATATTTCGTATTTGAGAAATCATAATCTTATATCTGCCGTCTATCCAAATAGATGCCGTTATTGCGGTGAGTGAAGGTATATGATACGGTCGGGCCACATAAATTTTTTTCTGCCTTCCATCATGATAGCAACATCAAGGGTAATGTTGGTTAGATAAGCTGGCGTTTCGATACGGATTAGCCAGTTTGCGAATGAGGAAGATTTACGAGACTTCACGGACGACTTGCAGACATATTAATTTGCACAAGACTCACCTCGTGCGCCTGATCCTCGATGCTCCGTAGAACCGCGAGATTGCGGATAGTCGCGCGTCGCGACTCAAACGATGACTCCAGCCTGGTGGCGGCCTTACCCACCTCCTCCACCAGTCTTCGGGCTCGTTTCACCGACAATCTGGAAAGATAAAAAGGAACCGTGATCGTGACCGTTAGGAATCTGCGTAGCTGTCTTCTCGCGTATGAACGATCAAATCATGACCCGCGAGTTCGCAAGGATCAAGAAACTTTTATTAATTAATACATTCCCTTATTTTCGCGTTAAAAGCATTTTGTAAAAACACAGAATAACATAAACTGATGTATCTCACTCAATCAACTCGATCGATTAATTTTAAACAATAACAAAAATTATTTGCAAAAATATAAATACTACTCAATTGGAACAATCGTTTAAGTAATAATTATTAAACAATATACCAATATATAAACAAAGCGATCAATATCTTATTTGTGAAAAAATTAATTATATGTAAAAGATAAACAAAATTACTTCAAATATAGTAGTAGTTGAATTTAAAAAAAATGTAATTTATTCTAAAAGAACGACGTTTCACTTGCGATGGATTATTGTGGTTAGGATGGATTATTGTGGTTGTAAAATTCTCACCTAACGTGCTCGATGTGCAGAAGTGGAACCGCGCGTTCCTCGAGCGCGGCGATGGCCTCTTCGGCATCTCTAGACGTTCTTCTCAATGTGGGGTCCGTGAGGAGCCGACCGAGAGGCGTCAAAGTGCCGGATAGGCTTGTGCATTCCTTCAGCTCCGACATTTCGAGGGCTAATCTGCGACCAGCCGATTGCCACTCCGTCATGAGGCTGTCGTACTCCTACGGGAAATCAAAATACTAATCATGGCGGTGCGCCGTGTCTACCTACTTCCCGAAGGTGTTCTCGCGTTTCCAACAAAATGTCCTTCATCGGTAACCGGTACCGAGAAAGAATGTTAGCGATGTAAAAGTAGACATGTCTAATATGGCGATTGTGCGATTCAACGAGCCGTCAATCGTTCCTTATAGAAAGCACATTGTTTAAAAAAATATGTAACAAATGACGCATATCTATTGCATATAAAAGATACGTCGAACTATTATCTCGATGATTTCTTATTACCTCTCCAACCGTTTATTACCTCTCCGATCGGATCGAATTGCGAAAATACCAATCACGTTAGATCAACTCACGGCGAATGTAGCGTACGTTTGGAATAGCGATCGATATCAATTTCATTTTCGATACCATTAATATCACATTTATATATCAAGTTAGATTCGTAGCAAGACATATTAATATTGATCAATATATCAAAGTCAAGATTAGGCCTCTCCAAAATCTAGATCCCGAACTAAACGCTTCCATCTTTTCGCTGCCTTGAGGGAGAAAAAAAACAAAAAAATGTTATAGAATCGTTATATTATTAAGCTAACATTTTATAAAAAAAATAAAAAATAAAAAAATATATATTTAATATAAAGTTATAATTTATTTAAAAAAAAAAACAAACACAGCAATTAGACAACGTGCAAACGTATATTTATTGATAATGCAAAGTACATATTTATTTATTAATAATGCAAACTAACAAATAGATGATGAATGCTGATGAATGCTGATCAATATCACGGCAGGGCGATAAATTCCACTGACAATAACTACGGAAGTCTACCGGAACGAGCAGACCAATACAATTATTTTGCTTGAGCGACTTTCAACTTATTTATAAACTTGCCGAATCATCGTCATGACACTGAGCCGATCGAAGCGGCTTTTCATTGTTTGACATTAAACGACAAGTAGCGATAACAATTTGTCGCGAGGTTCGCATTATCAAGATGTATCACCCGCATTTGCGATTATTGGGGTCTTCACATACTTTACATAATACGATATATAAAATATTTTATACAATTTTTTTTATGTTCTCTCTTTGATTATTTCAATTCAATGTTCACAATGTCGATGTATGCTTAAGTGTTCATTCCTGAGACATAATTACCTTGTAAAAAGCGATCCATTGCATCTGGTCGTGATTTTCTTCTCGCCTGGGAATATACTTGGCAAGAGTGGCGTCATTCACGGCGACGATCTGAAAGGAAACGTTTATGGATAATTATAATTTCCCGATGGTGTTCAATGATCGTACTTATGGGACCGTAAATTACGTTTGTCGCGGATACTAAACTTTAGCTTTTGTAACGATATTCGTTTCGCTTCGACAAAGGAAAACATCACAATGGAAACCGCGCGACCATAATGTACCAAGCGACACAATTACGATGCGAAACGCACGTGCGACCGCTTGAGAAACCAAATATAATGCACCGTGGAATCTGGATCAACGACGCACAATGAACATCGGGAGACAAAAACGACGAACGATTGAGCGTGATTACTTTCTTGCCCGCAGAAAGGTGCTCGCTCAATGCCGCCTGAGGATTTAATTGTTCCTCATCATCGGACTCACCTGGACGCTACTTAGAGGTAGCAAAACAAAATCGACCAGGCCATCCGTTGTTGCGGCATTCTGAAGCATGAGAGTCTGAGCTACGTCGACTCTGCCCTGTAAAGGCAAGAATTGCACATTACTTCTATGACAATCGCATAATAAAATCATTCGCCTGCAGAATCACTTTTACCTGTAGCAGGACCAATACTTTGTCCACGAACTCCAGACACTCCTTAGAATCGCCGCGTATGAAAATAGTGAAGCCATTTTTCGTACAATTGGAGCTGAAAATTAAACATTAAACTAAATTAAACACTAAATTAAATATTAAAATATTTTTTATATCAAATATTGAAGACTGTGAGCGAGAGAAACGTATCTGATCATTTGTTGACTATAATTACATTTATAATTTATTCAAGCACTAAAATAATCCAAATTATTGCCTTTATATTACATCTTGGACAACTTTTAGAGTAAATAAATATGTTCAAAAGATAGAACGGCAAATTGTTGTTTCTGTTAAAGCAACAATGCGGCTCGGAGTTAGCTTCGCATAAGTCGTCATCTAAAAATAAGCGTCTTGTCCGTCGCTCCGTGCGTTAGTCGGGCAGTTTGCATTCAGCGGTGTTTTCGAGTGCTTATCGAAACCGTATCCCATCGCATACAAGTGCACTGCTCCGTATTTACAAACGTCGAATTTCCTAAACAAATATTATCGCTACCGTCGAGAAATTCCATGTGCATACATGAATCACGGTGTGTCACACACATATCGCGAGATCTCCCACGTGTGCTGCTACAATTTCTCCTTACCGACGTCATACACGGAATGAAACGTGTCATTCGTTGCGGCGACGCTTTCGTAAATCGACATACTCGTGCAAGACTCATCAAGCACGTGCATGTATTTTAATCGACTATCGTTTTCCGATATATACGCTGTTCGTTCGTGAGTTAAGTTTTAAGACAAAGGTTAAATCGCGATAACAATCAGCGTATTTTTGAATGAAATCAAATCGCGTAAATATAAATAACAATTTTAGAAATAACTATTAACTTGAACTTTAAATTAATTATTCTTTAATTGTTCTCTCTCATAAAAATAGATCCATATATTCGCTATATTAATCCTACTTTTATACTAGAGGAAAAATTACACATTTTACAACGATTTAAAGAAAAGGAAAAATTTTGACGTAACAAGTTCTGATTATGTTTCCATGTAAATATCTATAATAATAGATGAAAGACCATATCTCCGTAAGCGGTAGCTGAGAATCGCATAGGCGCGATCTCAGCCTAAACTCAGGCTAAACGTAACCCAGTTGGTATCGGGTGTCGTAAACGGCATTAAGTTATGACACGTGGGTGGTTGACATTAAGCATGCAGCGTTTCTCACGCGGCTACCGTGACACTCCACCGTATCCTCGTCCTTCTCGCGTATACAGCAATCATGCCTCCTCTCCGCGCAACACAGTGGTGCAGTGTCTAACGGGCACAATGTCGAGCTTTGTATGCGCCACTTGTATCCCGCGATCTATCCTAAATCGTCATCAACGCGACAGGCTACGAGCCAAGCGCGGCCATACGTTTCTGCCCCCGTGCTCCGTTTCTACTTCCGGTTTAACGGCCGTTGGCCGTTCCTTCGATTTTCCCACCGTACAAACTCCTCGATCGTACATTATCGTCCAAAGACGAGGGAGCGGCGGAGGGGACGCCTATGCAATGTTTCGTGACAACCTTCTCAAATTGCACGTGCAACCGCGCGACGACCGAGACTTTCGAGAGCCGCGCCGCGCGTCGCTACTCCCCGTAAAGCTCGATAGCGCAAATCATACAGTTGGCCGCGAGTCGATGTTGCGGGAACGACCTGTTGGAGCGATAGCGAATGAGATAAAATCAAATCGCCAGGCTGACTTCCTGTCGTTACACGTCCATTACGGAGTCACGGTGGAGGTAACCTTCGAACCTAAAAAGATCATGTTTCCGGATTTTAGTACCGTGGAAACGGGTATACAAATCTTTGACGAAGTTACTGGTTGCACTCTGTTATCATTGATTATCAAAAACAGATATTTTAGTCTGTATACCTACAATTAATTTTTAATAACTGATTTGTTTTAAATTATTTTCTCTTAATTTTATATTTTATGTAATAAAACGTTATACGTTCAGAAATTCAAACTTTATATAATAAGAAAATTCAAAAAAATATTATTATTTCTATAAAAAAGAAAGAGCTGAATTATCTGACAATATTCCTTAACCAGCCATCACGATGTTCACCGCGCGTATACTTTCCCGGATGTAGCTCAGTTATTCGCACGTATTCTCCGTTTTACCGCACGATGATAGATAAGAAGACAAGATCGAACCAACCCTTTCTCGTCGTAATCATCGCGCGTCTATTATCGAACCGGCCGTGTAACCGTAATGGCACGTACCCGCGTATTCAACGGCGCGGAACAGTCGGCTCACAGCGTCCGTTCCCTGGAACCGGCGATCGTGTCGATAAGTAAATCACTTTGATTTCGCCGAGTTAACGTCGCGCGACAGTTTACGAACGCGACGCCCACATTTCGCCTCGCTCGACGCGTCGGACTCATCAACGCGCGATGTATCCGTCGTACGACGGTTGACGTATGATGGATATAGGGTGTTAGCGAGCACACGTTCCAACATTCCCCGTATCTCTCCGGTGCGATGCGATTACGCGATTCGCTGGCAACGGCCAGGAACGGGATCAATAAGACGAGCCCCGTAGAGGTCGTGTCGACACTGACCGCCGTTAGCGCGCTTGACAGTTAGCGCTTCGCCTAAATTACACGTCCCACACGTCGAGACGGCTAATAAAAGGACGCCGAGATAGACTTTGTCGCTGACCGGAGAGATCCCGTTGCGAAATGCCAGGCGGGTGCACGTTTCCTCTCATAATAGCGCTGGACGACGCTTCCAGGCTGGCGGAAGTCGATTTCACGGTCGATGACGGCGTGTAGAATGAATCAACGATTTTAATTATGAGTGTTTGTCCGCGATCAAGATCGTTAAGGCAAGTTAGTAACATTTATTAATCAAACATTAATTTCTACTTCTACTTTCTAGTTAACGATTCGATAGATTTAGCATTCGGTGCATGCTCGACGTACATTATATATATAATATATTACCGAGCATTCAAATCACTTTCGGAATTATTTTTCCACAATAATTTACTGTATGCAATTTTTAATGAATGCAATTTACTCTCTGTGATAGCTCTAAAATATCTGATGTAAGAATTACATAAAATATATGAGATTATATTTGAACGTGCAGCCAAACGTTAATTATATACAGAATTAATAGCAGAATTAATAATCGAAAGAATCAACTGACAAGATATATCTACTCAAATCCGAAAAAAATTCAACTTCAACTTTTATAAAACTATTAAAATAAATATCAATCTTCATTAAACAACATCTATATGAAATATCAAAACTACATCTATATGAAATATCTTCAATACTAAATATTTTGGATTAGTCATAAAATTAATCAAGTGCTCAGATGTCTAAAGTGGATGAGTCCACTGTTAAAAATTTAGCAATAAATTTACGATTATCATATAATAAAGACAGAAAATATTAGAAAAAGCAATTTTTAAAAAATTCCCTGAAAATTCCAATTTTTCAAGAAATAAACAAACTCTCTGAGAATTTCTGAGGTTTTCAATATTTTCAGATAGTAAATGTCTCAATTATGTTTCTATTCTCATCCAAAGGAAATATCTCGTGCATTAACACGATTGTCGACCTAGAACTCCATTGGAATCAATGCCACATTCGCAGGAGTTCGCCATACGTGTGTGCATATCGTGCTGCGCCACAACGGAGCCTGAAACCACGATCGCATCCTGGGTGGGCAGAGGTTGTCGAACAGAGGTCGCGTCACGACCGACTGTCGCGATTGACACCGAGAGGATATTCCGATGCGACGTGCGCTTGATGGTGCAATGGCGATAACTTCGCATCCCGCGGCGGCTACATGTATAGCACTTTTATCGAAGCGTACGCAATTTGACGTTGTTCGTCGTCATCAGCTCTGCCCATCGCTGTTGTGACTAAATTTCTTCTTTTCTGGCGAAACGAGAGAAAATGTCTGCGCAACACCCGGAAACAGCATCGGACAAACAAACGTGAATTATTTTATAGAAGTCTAAGTCTTGCTGTGACTTCGAGAACCTGTTTTTCCCCGCTGGATGGTACATTCGATTAAACCTACTTAATGCCGAAGCTTTATCCTGGAGCTTGGTCACAAGCCATAAAGTTTAGATGAATATAGCAGTTGGCGTTAGTACGTCGTCGGCCGCAATACCTTCGGCAATGATGATTACTGCGAGAGACAGTATGCGGCCAGAGCTATTGGTATTTAAACAGTCAATCCAATATCTCATGTTCTTCGGTATATAATATTCAATTTTTGAAGAAAAGTTATTTTTTGTTATTTCCAATTTTTAAAGAAAAATTGAATTTTTATATGACTCACAAAATTAAAAAATATATTATTAATTATCTATATATTTATATATATTAATATATACGAAACAATGTTCTTTTCTCTTTTAAAAAAGAAAAAAATTTTTTTAATTTATGTTAAACAAAATACCGATCATGATTATACAAAAATTATACAGAAAAGTTAACTTACGAATATAGGTCTTACTAGTGGATTAAAATAATGGATTCGGATATTCAGTTAAAATCGACCACTACAATACGTGACCGATCGTAACAATTGACTCTCGAATAATCGAATTTCAGAACCTTGAAGGGACGACGAACTCGTAGAAAGTCGAGAAGCCAGGCACGACGTAAGTGGAGCGTTCGCTCACGGATCGTGCGAACTGACACTAAAAACGAGAAGACCTATATTCTTAATAATGTTCTAATGGCGCTAATAGTCCTCTAACGAGCGTATAAATATCGCCGGTATTTAAATGTTACATGACGCTTTCATGACGCTAATCACACCGCATCCAAGAATTCCATTACGCAAAAATCACGAGACTCTTCCTGCCGAGAGCGAGAAAATAAAGAGAGCCGCAATTATATATCTCGCTATAAAAGGAAAATAATAAAGCTTTATGTGTAATAAAATGGAATATATACGTAAATATGATCACATATTATATCATGTAGATAAATTAAAATGAACATATGCATATGAGCGTCCAATGAACTATAATTTTCATAAAAATATGCGATCAATGTAAAATTAAAATTTTAATAATAAAATTTA